GACCTAACTGCATTTACATACACTTCTCCTTTTAGCTTTTTTCAATTTTCTTTTCTCTTGGATTCAGCAGCAGATGGAAAGGGAAAAACACAACCAGGCTATTTTAATAGAATACCCCAAATTCCTGCATATGACTAGCTGACATTCAAGAACATGCTGTATCTGAGTGAGCATGTGCAGCAAAGATCTACAAATACAGAATCCTATTCTCCTGAAATTCATGTTTTTGTTTAAAGTTACACTAACATGCTTTGTTAGGTAACTAGATGAGAAACAGTTTGTAGAATAATAATCTGTGTATAATCATGACACTGTCAGTTTAAAAAAGGACATCCTTCTTGTTTTCTTTTAATAAATGGTTACCAGTTCTTCTGTACTTTAAGGGAATGCAGGGAAGATATTAGGAGTACTTTCATAATCAAACCGCTGGACCATATTCTGATGAGATGTGCTGGTGTACCTTTCCTACAGTAATTTTTGACATGTACCTCCACAAAACTCTACCTTCATTTTTAACATAGGATGATCAAAAGACAAACTTTGTTACTTGTGTGTTTGGACTGTGAATTCCTTGTACCAGACAACAGGTGTCCTTCCTGTGCTTCCTACTCAGAACAGAGGTAATTTGTATTTATTAAACTGCTTAAGAGCTCCCCTAAAGATCTAGTAAGTAATAATGGATGCCTAGCTTTACTTCAATTCCATATCAACTATGAAAAATAAAATACCACTATTAATTCACTTCTAGCCTTTCTCATACGGAGTTGTGCTAATGTACTTATACCTAACGTATCACTTAGTGCCAGAGCTTATCCTTTGCCCCACATAAGTACTCCTCCACACAGAAACAATTTCTGCAGGATTAAGTGCTTATAATGAAACACAACAGTAGTTAAGTTTGACATGGAGTTTAATTTTCTGCACCTTTAAGAAAAAAAAATTAATTCCCAAATGCACTTTGAATTGTCTTTAATACTCTTATTGACTTCGGTTTTGCTTAGTACTTGCTTATATGCCATAAAGCTTTTCATTCCTGGTCTCATTCATGAGCAGAACAGTTTCTGTTAATATCTATAAGACTAATTTTATTTGGAAATTGGAGAGTCTGCTCTTTCTTTAATAATTCATCATTTTATACAATGATCAGAGTAGCTAACAGAATGATTGCTAAAAATAAATCACAGCTATTGAAACTACCTTCCAGTACTCTCAGTATTTACCATTACACAAAATATAGGCACACTGGCTTTACAAATTAAAGCACTCTGAAGTGAATAAGGCTTCAAAGCAAAGATATTTAGGAAAGCTATTCAGGCAAATGGAATTATTTATTTTTAGTATCGTTCGCCTGTCCTCCTCCCCCTCCCCTTGCCACCCACACCAATAACTATAACAGTTGCTCCTGGCAAGGATAGGATAGCTACAATAAGTCTCAGCAATAGTCTGGAATTTGAAAGCCGGTTCAAATTTTCAATTGTGTGCATTGTGTCTGTGATAAACATCTTTAGGAACGCAGTAGCGTTACACTCCTTGGTTTAGCTAAGGTGTAAAAAGCGCAAAATGGTCTGTGAGCAGAGCTTTCAGATCCTGTCAACTTGAGTGTGAACATAAGAAGTAGAGGATGCAGGAGCTGGAGAATGCTTTCAATCTGTACGTGTCCCAAAGCAGACGGTCTGGAGTGGCTACTGGAGACACCAGCCCAAAGAGATCACCACAAGCCACTCAGCTCCATCCTTTAACCAGGTAGATCATGCACCTCCTCATCAGAGCTGTGGGAAGGTATGACGGACAAGAACCGATACTCCAGCTCACCACTGCCATACCTGCTGCTACCTTTCCCTGGGGAAGGAGCTCTGTGCCAGCTGAGGACATGTATCAGGAGGCCAGCTCAGCTAAGCAAGAAAGCTGTAAAACAGCTTGAATGTGAAAATGCAACATACAGGATGGGGGAGGACAGGCAAGGTCTGAGGAGGAACTGAGAAACATCACCTGGGCACATAGGAGTGGCTGTTATTGTCAAGGAAGCCAAAGCTCAGATAGACTTGCAGGGGATGTCAAAGGGCACAAAGAAGAGCTTCTACTGCTGTATTAGTGGTAAAAGGCTGACCAAGGAAAATGTGGGCCCACTGCTAAATGCGGTGGGTGGATACAGTGACAGAAGACACAGATCACAGCATGCCCCCCCACCTTCTCTGTCATCACCAGCAAGTTCTGCCAGGCCACTGAATGCAGTGACTGGGCTTAAGGAGGAGAGGGCCTACCAACTGGGGATGTTTATATTAAAGAAGCAGGAATAAAAAAATTGCTTGCTGATTCTGATTGCAAATATGAACAACAAAAACATAATCCAAATTTAAGCAACACAGAAGAGACTTTCTTAATCCTGAAATATTGGCAAGACCAAAAATTTCCTTTCTTGAATGAGCGGAATTTTTAATTCCAGTGCCTACACTAACTTTCTCACTTTGGAGTAAAAGGAAAAAGAGATGGTAAGTTTTGAAGCCCTAAAAATCTAGGTCAGTTTTCACTCATACTAAGTAGCCATGCAAATACCATATGAGCAGAAAAAAAGCAGTGGCAAAACTGATGTCTTTTACCAAAAATGGATGGCGTATTTCTGTTCTTTCTAAAGGTAGTACAAGGCAGGCAGTCAGATCCAACCTCATTTGTTGATCAAATTCAGCTATGCGAAAGATAACAGCATCTGCTCCCTTTGTTTTACAACAGAGAGTAAGACTTATTTGAATAGAAAAAAAATGCCAGTCTATATTTTTATATATATATATAAAACATTCAGTGTACGTCTATATATATAGACATGTACTATACTATAGCATATATATATATATTTATGTATACACACTGATTACAGATATTTTTCTTCTCTTCTTTTAATAGTATTAAGATTTAGCTGGGCCTTTAAGAACTCCAGACTTTACAGTTAATCTAAGATTACACAATGAAAAAGCTGATGTTTAGTTCAGCACTCAAGTAACATGTGGCAAGAATTTACCCATACTTTCAATGAACCAGTAAGAGTCCCCTTTATCTGTAACAATTAAATGATTGATTCTTGGTTTTACTTTCCAGTCCAGTTCTCTCCTTTAGATTCTGTTTATTATTTTCTACACAATAGATCCCCCAAGGCTTTGACTGGGTAAGTAACCTTTGAGAAGTAGGGGGGGGTGTGTGCACAAAAGGGCATCCAGGTCCCCAGATGTGACATACTGATGCATTCTGCATTATCACACATGGCAGGACCTCAGGAAACACTCACTGCAAGAGGCTACAGAAAGAACAATGCGAGGCGTTAGACAAATGTCTCACACTGAATATGCAGCTGAACATTAGGTCACCCAGCTTAACAAACCAAGCACAAGACATGGCAGACTTCTGTGGTAGTTAAACAAAAAGTACTATTCATGTGCAAAAACAATGCTTTCCATCTTGCACCACAGGTGGCAGCGAACAACAAACTCTGATGTTCAGTATGCCTCTTCTACGTGATGAGTTCAGTCTATCCATTCTGCTGTTTTATTATTAAACTCTTAGGATTCCCCTTAACAAAGACAATCTTTTCTCTCCACAACCCCTGTGAACCTTGCAAAACTCGGAGAGACCAGGATAACTCCTCTTTTTCCTACTTTGTATTTTCTTACCTTTCCTACAGAAAGAAATCCATTTTACAATTCCCCCTGTCCACAAGAAGCACTGAAATCCATTCACCAAGGTCCTTTCAAAGGACAATGGCAGATATCCTCCTGCCTTGAAAATGTTGTGGGCACTAAGCACCACCTTTCAGCTGAGGAACAAATTACTTTGCTCCAGAAATTGCTGCCACTAGACATGCCTCTCTCATTCAGTTTCCTAGCTCTTGTTAACTTACAAAGAGGCAGACTTACCAAAGCAGTACTGAGGTTGCAGCTCTACGTACAGTTTATCATGTCTAACAATAGTACCACAGGGCTATTTATTGTGCCTTGGAAAAAAAATCGTTAATATCTCCAAACTAATGGAAAGCAAGAACAAAAAAAGACTCTACTGGACTACTTTCCTATATTAACCTGTATTTCCACATATAGATCAGTATAATCCTGGATGTACAGACAAATAGGGGGACAGCCCTGCAGAAAAGGACCTGGGGGTTGTGCTGGATGTTAAGGTCAATGAGTCAGCAATGTGCCCTGGTGGCCAAAATGGCCAACTGTATCCTGAGGTCTGTTAAGCACAGTACAGCCAACTGGCTGAAAGCAGTGATTGTCCCACTATACTCAGCATTGGTGTGGCCTCACCTCAAGTACTAGGTGCAGTTTTGGGCTCCACAGTATAGGAAGGATATAACAATATTATAATGTGTCCAAAGGAGGGCAACAAAGATGGTGAAAGGACGTGAAAGCATGATTAATGAGGAACGTATGAGGATATCAGGTTTTTTGAGCTTGGAGAAAAGAAGACTGAGGGGTGACCTCATGGCTTTCTATAACCTCCTCATGAAAGGAACAGAAAGGGTGGTGCTGATCTCTGGTGCCTGGTGATAGGATGCAAGGGAATGGCTTAAAGCTGCATCGGGGAAATTCATATTGGGTATTAGGAAAAGATTCTTCAGTGAGAGGGTGGTCAAGCACTGGAACAAGTTTCCCAGGGAAGTGGCCATGGCCCCAAGCCTGTTGGTGTTCAGGAAGTGTTTGGACAACACTCTTAGATGTATGGTTTAACTTTTAGATTGCCCTGTGTGGGGTCAGGAGTTGGACTTGATGACTCTTGTGGATCCCTTCCAACTCAGGATATTCCATTCTACAATCCTATCATTTCAGATCCCAACAGCTTAACTAAAATACAGGCTTCATCAGTGCTTTGACATCCATAGTTTTTCCCAACTAAATTGCACGGAAAAGGAATGGAGGTTAAACAACATATAGAGCAACATCCTGCTCTCTGTTTTGCTGAGGTAAATCTAGAACAGATGTGAACATGACGTTTAGTCAATAATTTTTACTCACTCGACAATCCCGCTGTAGTGTTTTCATTAGTGCGCTGAGTGTTTCAGAGTCAAAATACAATCCTTCATGCATGTCTTGCAAGAAATCCAAGTCTTTGAATGTAGGATTGGACTTCTCCCTCTCTTTTCGTGATGCTCTCCGTTTGTATGTGGAGCCTTTCAAGTCGTACGTGAAATGCATTTTCAAGGCTCGCGGCAAAACATTGTTCATTACAATGATTCTAATATTAATGCCTCCTGACTGAACGCAGTACAGCCCATAAAATTTGGGTAGAAGAGTCCTTGGATTCTGGTTCAGATTCTGAAATAAAAAGAGATATTCTTAAATATGTCTATTTCAACAAAATTCCACACTTAAGATTTTTTTAACACCAAAGGACATTAACAAACATCAAGAAAACTGTGCATGGTTTCTTATGCATTATAGTTTCTTTGACCAGTTTATTTTCTTTGTGAGTCTGTGAGCAGAGCAGTAACCTCATTTATGCCAGGCTTCTCCTTCTCACATCCCATGGAAGAGCAGACTCTGCCAACCCTAAAAGCATCCTGAAGATTTAATTTATCCATTTGGACCTGAACAACCTTTGAATTCCACCTGCTGGAAGGAGTTTGGGTCAAATGTAGTTCTCATTACCTTGACTTGGATTCTGAAAAACAGAACCTCGTCTCCATGAGGCTTTTCACATTAAGGATCAGTGGCAAATGACCAAGTCATCTCCACAGGAGTGTGAGGTCATAACAGAGCCACAACTGACTATCAAACTGACCAGGAAAGTGTGAAATAATCCAAATTCCACAACAGGCAAAAAAATTAGAGAGGTGAGAGCGAAAATCCTCCCTCTGAACACAACTACTCTCAATTTTGGCCATGAAAAATCAGTAAGGGGAAAAACCACTTCTAGTCTTACATGGTTACTAAGTCACAATTTACAGCTACGGGAAGAAGGTACTTTCACAGGAAATAATCACAGTGATTCCACACTTTGGAAACCCTTGCATATGGCGGTAGTGAGAATAATGTTCCCAGAAACAAAGCAAAGTGACCCTATATTTACTTGTATAAACTCAAACTTACGCTGAGCTGATGCTCATGATCAGAAGTAACAACAAAGAAAGTACCTGCCACCATTGCTCTTTCTGATGCTGCCAGTGCACAATTTTTTTTAAACAAACAGTGAATACATGTTACTTTAGCGTAATAATGACAATATTCCTCATTTTTAGTAGAAATGAGAGGGTAACTTTTCAATTGTTTGCTTAAGAAATCAAAGAAAGAAGAGAAAACAGTCACAAGTCTAATACTCTAAAGTCCTGCATATCACCCAAAAGAAAGTTCATACGTATGGTATGAGTGGCTTTTTGGTTTTGGTTTGGGTTTTGGTTTTTTGTTTGTTTTTTTAAAAAGGAAAATTAAATCCTACTTGCATTGGATCAATGGTTTTCCTTTCTGATGACTGACACACATAAAACCAATACAATCTACTTAGCATTAGCCCTCAAAAAACTCCATTTAAAAATTAATTTTTGAACAAATTATATGGATAAAAATATTTTTTACATCATTGTTTTAATACCTGAGAAATGGAAATTAGAAGTAGTCAGAAACAAAAGTGAAACTAGTCTGGTTTATTTGTCCACTCTGAGTAGTCAGTAGACAGACATAAAATGGAAAAAAAAATTGAATTAGAAACTTTTTTTTTGTTACTGGCTTATTAGAAGCAAATTTTGGTATGCAGTCAGAAGATGACACTCAGCTTCATCTTGAATGCTAAAAGAACAGCAATTATCTTAAATACATTCTTGACTTATATCTACTCTTTCTAATGGGTGTGGGGGGTACAAAGTTGATAGACAAGTAAAAAATGTCAAAAATATTATGAAGAATACAGATAAAGCCAATGAAAGATCAAAAGACAACAAATGAAACCAAACCTTCAGGAGTGTGACATGAAATAGAAAAAATACAGGTAAAATACAGTCTTCGGTCACTTACCATGTAATACCCGGGCAAGAGCTTCTGAAGAAACTCAGCCTCTTTGTGTTGAACTGTTTTGATGATGAACTCATCATCACTAGTTACAAAAAATAGGGACCCACTGGCACCCGGGTTGGATAGTTCAATTAAAGGCTCACTGCAGATTGAGTACTGGAAGAGACAAAAATTGTTTTTCACTGCCAATGCACGCGTTACTCATGTAAACACAAGTTTAATAAAAAGAACTGTAGGTTCAAATAGGCATAGGAGAATCACAGAGCTTATTCTTTGAGCTTCAACTGCAGGAACTCTACTACTGTACGGCAAGCTGAGTCACAGTAATTTGGTTGCAATTTGGTGGGGCAGCTGTTACACTCCACTCTGCCCAGGAGACGCGGCACAACCATGGGAGAGCAGCTGGCAGGCAAGCGTATGCTCCCTCTTCACGTCCCACTGCACCAGCTGAACTTTCCCTGGCATGAAGCGAGTGGTTGCGGTGGAGAGAGTCCGTCCCCACAACGTCGGCATTGCAAATTCTTGAGTCAGAAGCCTTAAGATGACATTTGCACTGCAGCTGTTCGCTTTTCACAGCCATTTATGAAACCGGTACAGGAATATATACACTGGGACTAGGGGTTTCTCACTATAGAAAAATAGGCAAGTCCTCTTCTGTGAAACTGGTATTGAAACCATTAGGATAATAATCTCAGTATAGCTGCTACTGTAGTTTTCTGATGGAAAACTGCTTGAAACAGAAAAACTAAATACCAGTAAGTAGGAAAAATTGGGTTTTGGAGGACCATTGTTGCAGATGCTTAGAAAGGCTTTCTTTTCCACAGGGAGACAGTAATAATTACAATCACATTAAGGAGGAAAAAGACACCAAGGAGTATTCCTTAGTAGTAGACGTAGATCTCACACAGAGGCTCATGTACATTTATTAAATCTCCATTAATTCATATTTCATGCAAACTAAATGGAGAGGAACTATTAAGCTCATAAACGTAGAAAAATCTGTTCATATTAAAGTCAGGAGCTTGTTTAAAATATAGTATCATTAAACTCATTCACACACTCTTCCTTTGCTATATGCCATCAATTTTACACACTTACAGATTTACCCTACGGTCTAGTATTTTAAGGCTTCAGTCTTTGAAAGAAACAAAATTACACAGGATGTGAATTGTGAGTAGCGTAAGCACCAGGGAATTATTCTTAGCAGTGCAGTATGTCTTCTGGTCTCCTCAGAGCAAAAGGAAGAATTGCTTCAGCAACAAATATCTGGTTTATTGGGTCATTGCCTGAGATGAGTTGAGCAATTCCACAAGAAAATACTGTTTTGTTTGCTGAAAACTTCTTTCATTAAATTCAACTGGAGTCTTGCCATTGATTTCAGTGGGTGGTGATAGCAAAGGAAAGTGATACAAGAAAATCTAATAAATATGTTCTTTTGCAAGCACTTGAACTAGAGAAGCATACTTCCTATGGACTCAAGCCACTGCCTTAATGCATTTTCTTATCCTGGCTCCAGCTGAGGCTTTTCCCATGCTTGCAATTTGTAAGAGACTTTTGCACACTATAAAAACATTGCCTGTTTGTCTCCCTGCTTCTCCAGTTCACAATTAATAGGAGAGACCTTACTTATTAATCCTATAGTTGCAATTGTCTACAACTGTCTACCAGCAATGCTGGCCTGTAACACTATGGACCTTCAGAGCAAATCAGCAGTTGTATTGCAACCCCGCAGTTTTTCTTGCCAAAATACATAAAGCTTCATAAGTAATTGTCATTGTTTTAAGTATCTGAAATCAAATTACCCTAAACATTAAAGCTCAGTAAAACAGTATAGCATAAGCACAAGTTATTAACCTACACTGTCTTTTGGTCATTTTACAGTTGAGTTCGTTCCTGTAAAATAAAAGTCTACCCACCAAGTATCGCTACACAAAGAGCACAGATAATTTTGACTGGACACTTATGAAAGCCAAATCAAAACTGAAAAGAAAATCCTCAAGCCCCTGACAATCCAGTACTTTATGATCAAGAAGCTTCCATGCAAAATGCCAGTACTCCATGAGGTTTCCACTGACAATTTAATTCTACCAGCTGTTCAAATGTATTTACCCTATCCAGTCTGACTCCTACAGTGCATTATCTCCTTGGAAAATGTGAAACTGTAAATCTTTGGGCTTTGTCATTGCAAATCAACAGTGTAAACTCACATACACTTGCTGTAATTTCTCCTCTTTTTACCTTACTTCTCTTCCCCTTCAACCACAACTGGACAATCCGTTGGTATATTGTTACAGTGAAGTGTTTTAGATACCAAACTGAAATTACAGTCACTGCATGACAGATCCAGATTTCACAGAAACAAGAGGGATTGTTCAGCCAGAACCCTGACACGTGTTATTTGGAGCAAAGTCTTAACCAGACGTTTTGGTCATAACCAATCAGGAAAAGGGTGCCAAACCAAAAATAATTTTGTTTTATGATCATAGTACCCCTCTGATCACATCTACCTCTGGACCAGAAGGGACTGCAACCTGCTCTGATTACAAAGCAATGGCCATTTAGAACCAGAAACAACAGAAATGGATTCTAACATGCTTGCAGAGCAAGTATAAACCTAATAGAGGCATGCATGTGTTACAGCAACACACACTGAAATTCCAACCACACTTTGCAAAAATACCTGTTTGTTGAAGGAAATACGCTTTTGCATTTTCAAGAAAAGAAGGTGTACTTAATCTTGAAATTAGGTTTTCTAGTTGCCCCTTTTCTTTGTAAACATATAGCTAGTGTCTTTTGCTGTACCAAGAGGAAAAAGAAGGTGCACCAAGTTGCCTTTACTGGGAAGTTCCCTCAGGGATTAGTCATTTTGTTGTTAAGCTGAGTGTCACACATCTCTTATCAACAGCAAGCAGTCTTTCCATAATCTTAAATGGACGCTACTGTAAATGGTTCCTCAGATGGAACAGAAGTTGCAGGTGACAACAGCTTTACACTAGGAAGTACAGCCTTTTTAGCAGCCCGGATACTTTGTCTTTTGCCAGGTCCGCAAAAGGAGACTGATAAACAACATATTACATCATGACACCTTTATAAAACTCCAACACATCTGCACTTCCCTGCTACTAACACCTATAATTCAAAGGAATGATCTGTTTTTATATACAACTATTATCATTAGGGCTAGTAATACAAAATCTATACATAGCATGGAAAAATCAGAACCAGACACCCACATTCAACCTAAAAAAAAGCAAAACCAGCTAAGTTTTGCTTTTAGGCTTATTGTCCAAGAAGGAAAAACACCCTTGTAATACACTTGAACACTGCAGAAGTCAGTATTAAGTAATGTTTCAGCACCATTTAATCAATTTTTCTTTTTTATTCATTCAAGCTCTTTCAAATGCTTTTGGTTTTAAAGAAACAGTTATCAATAATGGAACAAAAGGATCTAAAAAACACATTTAAAAGAAGTTAACAATAAAACCCCAACATACAAAATTGCTCATTTGTATTTGGATTCTGATTTGTTGGGTGGACTGGTATGAGACAAACATCCAGAAACAATCCAGCTCTTTGTTTTCACACTACCCTTCCAAAAGCAGAACTATGGGAGAAGAAAAATACTGGATCCTTGTCCCTGGCAGTCCATAAAGTGGTTCTACCAAGTAAAGACTGCTTTTTTGACAGCAGCAAATGCATCACTTCTTTCTCATGTAAACAGTTGAATAGTAAGAAGGAGTAAGTCTTCAAACTATAAAACACAGAGAACAAAGGAGATAGTCTAAAATGCTTATTTTTTAGCCTGCCACACACTTTTCTCAAGGCTAGATGGGAACATTTGCAGACAAACACTTCTTTAATGAAGTGAATAAATAACACAAGTAACACAAGAGCACTTTATTGCAACTGAATTGGTAGAAGTCACACAAATTCTGATTACAACTTCTCTAGAAACAGTGACCTGAATGAGCAGTAATACTCAAGTTACTCTAGTCAATTAACACGGCAGGTTTTTATAGAAATCATCTCAAAGATGATGAATTCAAATTTTTGTAAAACACTGAAAATATTCACTAGTTATAAACCACACCATGTACAAAATTTGCTACCCATTTGGGCACCATTAAAGCATCCTCTTCTGTCACTATGAAACTAGTATACATTATAATAAGTTGTAACTCAAAGGAAAACTGCAAGCTCTTACCAAGTAATCATCAGGCTTGATACCAAAAAGTTCTCTGAAATAGCGGAAGGCAAGAGGTGCATACGTCTTAAATCTGAAGTCAGGGTAATGATGAGCAGGGGTGAGATTGCTCCCTTCACTGAAAACAAAAACAAAAGTAAATCAAACTCAATTATTACTGAGCAGTTTTTAGCGACCTCCTTCTTGCAGCTAGTTTTACAGTAAAAGCTGCCTAACTCAACCACTGGCCTTCTGAGACAAGAGTCATAAATGCAGATAAACCTATCACCATTAATTGGTGTAATAAAAATGTCTGTGAGAGATGGAATACTGCCAGCAAATTCCTTTCTCCCGCCTTAATGGAAATGACTATTTTCACCACCCATATCAATTTGCATAACAGTTGGGTTTAAACTTCTGATACCCCTCCAAGGTAGGCCAGTCTAATGGCTTACTGATGCAGGAAGAGTTACCCCACTTCATGTAAGCTCTTGAAAAAGATTGGAAGTCAATGCAGCAAAACAACTTCGCGCTAGCTTGGTGAGCTGGACTGGTCTGCAGGGGAGGCAGACGGATACTAAGGACAGCACAACACAGAGGGCAGACCCCTGCGGCCAGAGCAGTGTGAAGGAAGGAGGACTGCACATGTGTTTTTTTGTGCCAGCAAGCACTGATTGGCTCAGCCTTACTTATGAAATAGCATCCTCAGCATTATTCTCTTCTGCAGGGTAACTGCAGTTACGAGTTAACTCTTTCAATTTCTTGCTAGTACCGTCCAGAATTGGGAAGCCACTCTGGCTTTGCTGAACTTAAAGTGGTTTTTGGTCTGTCTACCTGTCATATCACATATGTATCCCACCTCAATCTAAACCACTACTGACTTACGCACTCAGTTGGTTAATAAGAACATAGGGTACAGACGTTTTGGGGAATTCTGGAAAATGATATGCAGTTATACACAAGATATAGATTCAAACGAGAAGAGCCACAGGCAAAGACTACTAGGGTGACCAGCCTGGAAGACAGTCTTTCTTAAAGGGGGGAGGGGGGAAAAAAAATAAAATTAATTATACCATGTCGCTGTATTTTTAGGCTGCTGTTGTATGAATCTTGAGATGAATACTACATGATTTAAGCTAAAGGGAAAGGTCAGCAGCAGAATGCTGCCAGAAGAAAAATGGATGCCTTTAGATTCCTTTATGACAGAAACTAAAAGATGTTTTTTAAGCAGAACAGTAAAGTTCTACACTATGATTTCAACACAAACAAGAACAGCTTTAAAACAAAGTTTGGTCAGTCTCCAAATGGTTTGATAAATAAGTGAGTACAAAATCCAAGACTTGACACAGTGGCCAAAATCAGCTCCTCCAGCACTTCTCTACTCATTTACCCTAACTAAATTATTCAGAAATGCAGCATGTACCTCTGTTCTTGTCAATAAGAATATCCAAAGTATACAAAAAAGAAAAAGCTAGGAATTCACACAGCTATGAAAAGGAATAAACTCTGAGCAACATTCCTGCAAAGACTAAATCAAATATCACGAAACTATTGACGAGCTTTGATCCTGTACAATTAATGTTTGTCATGTGAAACTGTCACCTTCCATTAATAACAATTTGAAGACAGAATTCTACCCAACCCACCTAGCTGCCCCTGCATGCATACCGCCAAAACCTAAACAGAACTGAACTGCTGCTAATTAAGCAGTGTGACCTGGAGAACAAGCTTTCTCAGGCTCCAGAAACACATACACTTTAGACTCTTGCACAGGAGACAGAAGGAGGGGAAAAAGCAACCTGATTTCTCATTGGAAACCACAAATAAAAAAATGGTTGTGGATGACCAAGCATACACACAAAGACATTAGAATACTGTGCTGCTTGGAGTGCTAAACCATACGGCTAACAGCTAGTGAAGGCTGCCTAGTCCGAATGAACTCATCTGATCACTTTATGTCTCCACATCTCATATCACAACTCCAAGGTATTAAAATGACATCCACATGTATTTTATTGTTCCATTACATGTTGATATATATATATATATCAATTATAAAAAACTGAAATCAATAGGATACTAGGCTGAAGATGGTAGTTTTTCTTTACAGTTAAGACTGGTGAATGCTTTTTCTTAAAAGGTCTTTCAGCTGCTCAGAACACTAACAGTCTTGTCTGACATTAGGTTTTACATAGCTGGATGCATCTCACTGAATTTTTGTGCAATATGAGGATGCCACAGGGGTAATATATAGCTATACTGGGAACCTGGGGGCATATTTGTAAATGCATTTAATTGTTGTAAGTTGCAGACAAGAAAAGAACAGAGTGTTCTCTGCTGAAGCATTGTATCATTGTCAGGGAAGATTAATCATCTAAACTTCATAAAAAAGCCCTACCTTTCAGTACATAAATACTTTTATAAATCTGCTTCCTGCAGCCATAACTCAAAAGCTTCTTTTGTGAAAGCGTGGCAATAAATAGAGTACATGTTCTTACTGCACCAGAACATGTACTGTTGTTGGAACTTCACCAGGCTGAAATGAAGGTAGGAAGTTTGCTATGGTAACACCATGGGTCCAAGCCATTTTGTAAGCACATATGGAGTAAAATTACTAACACTAGGTCTGCAGGTGGACAGTAATGCATAGCAAGTGGAGATTCATTCCAGAATAATTGCAAACAGAGCAATTTTTTGGAACCGCATCTACACAGAGGGCAATTCCGTGTATTTAGAGCACATGAGCTTACTTTATTACAGATACGATAGAGAGTTTCACTGCAGGCAAGTTTCCTTATTCTTTGTAAAATCATCTTAAAAGATCCCCTTTACTAAAAGTCTGCAGAGCTTGATATCATACACTATTGTTTGTGTTAAACATATTAATTAGTTTCAATTTCATTATCTAATACAATAGTTTACAGGATGCCAACAGTAAGCTCTTCCGTGATGCAAGAAGCAAGCTTGGGACAATTTTAAGATTTCTTGGTTACCGCTCTGGAAGAAAGTTTGTAAGGTTTTCTTGTTGCTACTTTTAACAGAAAAACACCCTCTCTTCCAGTAATTTCCTACAGTAATGGAAAACCTCCAAATTTCTTGTGGCTGAGTCTTGCTCTTACATGAAAAGGACAGTTCCACTGTCAGAATGCTTCACATAAATGCATCTCTACCTTATTCAGACATGAAATTATTCACCTTCCACTCTATTAGCTCTTGAGAGAATATACTTTGTGGTTTCTCCCCATGTTTTCTTCGTGCATTTTACAAGTGCATTTCAGTCTGGCTAGATTAAAGTATATGCGCAAAACACTATGTATAACAACTTTTAACCAAGCCAGGGAGTTTCATGAGGACAATTAGGTCTTTGAGTTGAACAAGAAAAATACCTGTGATCTGTTGACAGAAAATGTAATCTGCAAAATGAAGCTTTGGACACAATAGAAATGTACTCTATTGAAAAAGGACACAATCATATAATTTTCCCCTCAGTTTAGGGCACCGGTCTACGGAGGAGGGGGGAAAAAAAAAGGGGAGAAGAGGGGGGAAAAAAAAGGG